AAACCTGCATGATTTCCAAAAAAATGGAGAAAATACTGAGCAGCATTCCATGGACACAGATACTAAAGGACAAGGGAGTTATACTCAAGGCGCAATTGGAAACAGTGCCAACAAAGAGAAAAAATAGGACAAAAGCAAAGAAGCCGGAATGGATGTCCAAAGAACTTCTAACTGTGCTAAGACTCAAAAGAGACATGCACAAGAAGTGGAAAAAGGGAGAAATCACCCCTCTGGAACCCCTCCCTCCCCCTGGAAATTGGATTCAGTGGCTAGTCAATTCTCTAAAGAAGGGGAGCTAGATCGTGAATTACTTTGAGGGTCATGTGAGGATGTTTCCAATGTCAGAGTGGAAAGGGAGTTGTCAAGGGAACTAAGAGGGCTGAAAAGATACTAAATTTTTTTTAAAAAAATTGACTTTCGAATGAAACTGGAATATTATCTCTTAAGAATATTTGAATCTGAAATATTTGGTGACTGTAACATTTTTTACAACTGCGGCCAGAATTTTTTTCGCTAAATTCTGGAAACTCGAGTTCCCTGTAAGGAACAATGGTTAGATAAAATAATGGAGATAAAGGACATGGATAAAATTGATATTTTTGTTAAAGAAGAATACCAGCAGAGGGATGAAAATGACAGACTAGACAGTTTTTGAAGATTATATAAAGAATGATGATTAAAATAAGAACAATAGAGGATAAATAGAACATAAGAAAGGAAAGAAATTTTTTGAGAAATTGTATATGGTTAGAAAGGAAGAAGAACGGAAGTCTATGAACTTTCCGACCTTCCCCCTTTTTCTTTTTCTTTTTTGTTTTGTTTTGTTTTTGATTGTGTGTGTGTAACCCTCTTCCCCATAATTTTGTCTTTATCTATCTATTTGCATTTTATTTTTTTCTTTTATATTATTTCATGAAACTCTTTAATAAAAATTATTATGAAAAAATGTTGTCATGAAAATAGTGATAGGTTTGCCTTTCAATTATCATAAATCAGGAACAACATGAAGGCACGCATCAACAATAGCACACTTAGTGCTTACAATAAGCTAAGAAATAAGTGCTTTAGTCTAAACTTCTGAAGTATTCATTATGTGCAGTAGGATGGGAACTACAGAGATTGAGAACAACAACCTCCATGAACCCTTTACATCTACTGAATTGGACATGGCTCTCAATAAATGTAAAAATGGCAAAGCAGCTGGCCTGGATGATCTACGGATGGAACAAATCAAGAACTTTGGTCCAAAAGCAAGGTGCTGGCTGCTGGATCTGATGAACAACTGCACTGCATCCTGTCAGATCCCCAAAATCTGGAGGAAAGCAAGAGTCATCGCCATCTTGAAGCCAGGCAAAGACCGTAATGACCCAAAAAGCTACAGACCAATCTCCCTGTTGTGCCACCTCTACAAAGTTCTGGAGAGACTTATTTTGCATAGAATTATGGGAAAAAATAGACCCATGTCTGATTCCACAGCAAGCTGGCTTCAGGAAAGGCAAAAGCTGCACATCGCAAGTGCTGAACCTGACTCAGCACATAGAAGATGGCTTTGAAAGGCAGCAGATCACAGGAGCTGTCTTCATAGACCTGTCAGCAGCCTATGATACTGTGAACCACCGCCTCCTCCTGAGAAAAATGTATAATATCACAAAGGACTACCACCTCACCCGCCTCATAGGAAACCTGCTACAAAACAGGAGCTTTTTTGTTGAGTTCCAGGGCCAGAGAAGCAGATGGCGGAAACAGAAGAACGGCCTGCCTCAGGGGAGCGTGCTTGCTCCATCCATGTTCAACATCTACACAAATGACCAGCCACTGCCAGAAGGGACAGAGAGTTTCATCTATGCTGATGATCGTGCCATTACTGCCCAAGCAGGGAGCTTTGAGACGGTAGAACAGAAGCTCTCCAAAGCTCTAGGTGCTCTTACTGCCTACTACAGGGAAAACCAGCTGATCCCCAACCCATCTAAAACACAGACATGTGCCTTTCATCTCAAGAACAGAGAAGCATCCCGAGCTCTGAGGATCACCTGGGAAGGAATCCCACTGGAGCATTGCAGCGCACCCAAATACCTGGGAGTCACTTTGGACCATGCTCTGACCTACAAGAAACACTGCCTGAATATCAAGCAAAAAGTGGGCACCAGAAACAATATCATAACAATATCAGCTGACTGGCACAACCTGGGGATCACAACCAGACACAGTGAAGACATCTGCCCTTGCGCTATGCTACTCTGCTGCTGAGTACGCATGTCCAGTGTGGAACACATCTCACTATGCTAAAACAGTGGATGTGGCTGCTGAGTATGCATGCCCAGTGTGGAACACATCTCACCACTAAAACAGTGGATGTGGCTCTTAATGAGACATGCCGCATTATCACAGGGTGTCTGCGCCCTACACCACTGGAGAAATTACACTGCTTAGCCGGTATTGCACCACCTGACATCTGCCGGGAAGTAGCAGCCAATAGTGAAAGGACCAAGGCAGAGACATCTCCAGCTCATCCCCTGTTTGGGTATCAGCCAGCACGTCAACGACTTAAATCTAGACATAGTTTTCTAAGATCTACAAAGACACTTGCTGGAACACCTCAGCAAGCAAGAGTCCAAAAGTGGCAGGCTCAAACCCAGCACCTCAACCAATTGCTGATACCAAATGAGAGACTCTCTCCTGGGCACACAGAAGACTGGGCGACTTGGAAGGCACTGAACAGACTGCGCTCTGGCACCACGAGATGCAGAGCCAACCTTCAGAAATGGGGCTACAAAGTGGAATCCTCGACATGCGAGTGTGGAGAAGAGCAAACCACTGGCCACCTGCTGCAATGCAACCTGAGCCCTGCTACATGCACAATGGAGGACCTTCTTGCAGCAACACCGGAAGCACTCCAAGTGGCCAGATACTGGTCAAAGGACATTTAACCAACTACCAAACTCACAAGTTTTGTATTTTTCTGTTTGTTTGCTTTGTTCTGTTAGAAATGTAATATAATGGACTGGTTGCTCTGACACGACAAATAAAAGATAAATAAATAAATTTGTTTGCTAGTCTCACCATCACAGGGAAGCACCAAAATGTTTCATTCCAAGTTTTCCTTCACTGCCATTCTAACCAGCCTCCCAATATTTTCCCACCATCACCTCCCTAGCAGGTTAATGGTACATAAGAAATTATGCCCCTGAAAAGTCAAAAGAAGGGGCTATTCCTCGAAGTCTTGGCAATTTAAAACAATAACAAATAAACAGAAACATTGGGATGCTATTTATATAAATCCCCAATCTTTTTATTAGCTCCAGGTTTAGGCAGCAATCAGATCTTTTACAATCAGATGTAGCTTGAAAAGCATCTATACCAGTACTGGCCAGATGTTGTCCTTAAGCACATATACAAGTGAGCAACTATGTCCTCATTTTCAAGATGAGTCAGAAGTTTGAAGGGATTTCCTATTTGCACATTATTTACTGTTTCCTTTCAGGCCAAGAAATGGACTGTATTTTAAAATAAAGTAGGAAAAATCTCATCATCAGACTGGCAAGTGAAACAGACCTTTATAAAATAAAAGGGGGAAAATGGTAGTAAATTTGCCAAGTACTTCAGTGTACATTTTAGGACAACACAAAATGGGTCAGGAATAATATACCAGTCTCCATATATGTCTACTCAAAAGTATGGCACACATAATTCAGTGAGACCTGTAGAGCACCTGTAGAATTAATACCACAGAACCAGCATTTCTACCAAAGTTATGTGTGTCTCTGCATGGATATATGTAAATTTTGAGTTTCTCTGTGCAGATCTTGGACTTTTGGCTAATCTGTTTTTTAATAACTACTTCACTGGGCAGCTGTGTTTCCCTTCCCAGGGCACTTGTGCCCCGCTTTGTGCTGGTCAGTGACCATAATAAAATTTTGTAGTGTATTGCACCCTTCACTGGATATTGTTACAAAAGATTGGGTTGTTGTAGGTTTTTTGGGCTATATGGTCATGTTCTAGAAGCATTCTCTCCTGATGTTTCATCTGCTTCTATGGCAGGCATCCTCAGAGGTTGTGACGTTATAAAAGATTAATGGCCTCATATAGTAAATATGCATTTTCCTTTCATTTGTTAGTAGCACTGATACATTTATGTTGAAGCTTTTTTAAAAAACAATACATTATCATATTGCTATTTTTTCTGAATAACCGTAAATGTGTCAAATAAAATGTTTTGATCTTCCTAAATTGTCCATATGGTTTCCTTTATCTTCCTGACCCCAAATCATAACTACTTCATTTCATAATCTCTGTAAGTAGCATTACTACATTACTATGTTCTTATCAGTTCCTTTTCTACAGAAAGAGATTTCTGGATTTGCCCATTACCACTTGTTTATAGAAAATGGTCTTAATGTGTTTCAAAACTGTGTTCAAATCTTCAAATCTGTGTTCTTTGATCTTTTATGACAACACCAAAGCAAGTGATAGATTTCCTGTTCCCACCAAGTTTGCATAAAAATCCTACTGAGCTCCTTCGTTTTAACAACATAAACTAGCCTGTAAAGTTCTTCTGTTTAAGCACCTTTTATGGTTAATGAACATGAGAGTCCTGAACCTGTTTACATTATTAAGGAATGTATTGGCTGCCTTCACATTGAGCTTAACTTGAAGACATAAAGCTTTCAAAGTTCTAAAGATAACTTCAGATACATGCAATTTGTATATTCAGGAGGAAGTATACAGATATTCGGGAAAACAATTATAATATTTATTTTTGCTAAAGTTGACATCCACTTAGCTCCATGTTCATGAACATTATCCTGCATCACAAATTGAGCCCCATTTCACCCAGCTTTTCTTTGGCTCAAATGGTAATCCTAGCAACTTCTTTACTGTCTCAAATCAAAGTTTGGGATGGGGCCTTTTAAAAGGAAATAATTATTGTATCTGTTATTCTGATCTAACTTGTTAACAGTACTATTGTGCCATTGTGGCTCCTCGGCAGCTCCAGCTTCCTCTTCATGCAAAAGCGAAGGGGAGAGGAGGCGAAGGCGGGACTGGCCTTGGCTTGAAATGTATCTGAATACTGAAGCTTTCAAAAATACAACCTGTAGTACCAATTTGCCTGTTGTTGCTGATATGTGTTTAAGATTAGTGGGATTGGTGAAAATTCCTCTGACCCAGCCCATGCAGAGTCAAGGAAACGCAAGGAATGTCCTGATCAACTTGGACCCGGTCCTAAGAGAAGCACTGAGAAATGTACATAGAAGAGCTTGCAGAACTGATTTTTGCTATTTTTAATGATATTGACAACTTTAACTTCAAACTTGACAAATGTGCAATTTTGAAAGAAACTGTGAAGCAGATTCGTCAAATAAAAGAACAAGAAAAAGCAACAGCAGCCAATGAAGATGAAGTGCAGAAATCTGATGTGTCATCTACAGGTCAGAGTGTTATTGATAAGGATGCACTTGGGCCAATGATGCTTGAGGCCCTTGATGGGTTCTTCTTCATAATGAATCTGGAAGGTTATGTGGTGTTTGTGTCGAAGAATGTGACACAGTACTTAAGGTACAACCAAGAAGAGCTGATGAAGACAAGTGTATACATCCTGCATGTAGTGGACCACAATGAATTTGTCAGAAACCTGCTGCCCAAATCTTTAGTGAATGGGGGACCTTGGTCTGGTGAAGCTCCTTGGCGTAACAGCCATATCTTTAATTGCCGGATATTGGTAAAGCCTTTAACTGATTCTGAAGAAGAAGACCATGACAACCAGGAAGGACATCAGAAATACGAAACTATGCAGGGCTTTGCTGTTTCTCAACCAAAGTCCATCAAGGAAGAAGGTGAAGATTTGCAGTATTGCTTGATTTGCATGGCAAGAAGAGTTCCAATGAAGGAAAGGCCACTGCTGTCATCAGAGACATTTAGTACTCATCAGGATTTGCAAGGCAAGATAAATCACTGGACACTGCCCTGGAACTGGAATCAACTACCAAACTTGCAAATTTTGAGTTTTGTGTGTTTGTTTGTTTGTTTTGTTCTGTTAGAAATGTAATACAATTGACTGGTTGCCCTGACACGACAAATAAAGTAGCTATGAAGCCTGGTTGGGAAGGTGTTTTAAGGAGGTGCATTCAGAGATTCTATGCACAGCAGGACGGAGATTTGTCTTATGCCAGGAAGCATCATCAGGATGTGCTGAGGCAGGGACTGGCATTCAGTCCTATCTATTGGTTTACTTTGTCTGATGGCACTATGGTTGCTGCCCAAACGAAGCGCAAGCTCATCCATAATCAGACTACTCGTGAACCTCAGCTTGTATTATCCCTGCTTCACAGGGAACAAAATGTCTGTGGAATGAGCTAACTGGACAAGCAATGAGAAAGCAATTGAACCCTATTAGCTCCAGCAGCCCTGCCCATCAGACCATGTGGAGTGGGAATCCAGGTCAGGATATGACCATGAGTAGCAATATGATTTTTTCCATAAATTGCCCAAAGGAACAAATGGGCATGCCAGCAAGCAGGTTTGGTGGTTCAGGCGGAAAGAACCATGTGTCAAGTACAGAGGCGGCCCTAGGTAATTTTCAATGGTAAGCAAACAGTATTTTGGCGCCCCCCTCCACCAAAACCTCTCTCTCTCTCTCTCTCTCTCTCTCTCTCTATATATATATATATATATATATATATATATATATGGGCATGGACAAATTTTGGCCCTCCAGGTATTTAGGACTTCCTACTGGCTGTTTGGAATTGTGGGAATTGAAGTCCAAAACACATGGAGGGCTGAAGTTGGCCCATGCCAGCCATACATACACACACACACACACTAGCCATCCCCTGCCACGCGTTGCTGTGATCCAGTCTAGTGATCTTGAAAAGAAAGTAGTAAGAAAGTTGGTTTCTAATATATGTAATTTCTTAATGCTTGTGGGTAAATAGTATTTCTTGTTGTTTCTTTGTCAGTGTTGATGGAGTTCCAACATAAAATACTGGAGGGATTTGGGGAAAATAGACTCTGATACTGGAGGGGTTTTGGGGAAGCATGTACAATAATTTAGATTTGCAGTACCTTCAGTCGCTTCCGTTCATGAAGAGGCCTCCTTGCCGCCCTGAGAGGGGTGATGGCACAGCTGCCTGGAGAGGCACTTGCAATGCTGCCCTTCTTCATACAGGAGAAGAGGCCCTGTGCTCCATCAGCTCCTGGGTATGCACTTTGCATTCTCTTCCCCCACACGCTTTGCAACTCCGGGAGAGGGACCTGCGCTGGCATTGCAAGGCGCACGGAGAAAGAGCCCTCATGCAGGGAGCATGCTCTCCCTCCATCCTTCCCTCACAAGTGCGCACGTTGTCCTCCTCTCCTCCTCCTCCTCCTTGCAGGCCAAGGGAGACAACAATGCCAGTGTGCATCCTTCTCTCAGCGTTAGGAAGTGCATGGAGAAGGAGGGCGATGCAGGGCGCACATTTCCTAATGCCGGGAGAGGGATGTGCAGCGGCGTTGCCGGGCACGTGGGAAAAGAGGCCTCGTGCATGCCTCTTTTGTGTTTTATCTTGGGTGCTATCTTTGAAATGTGTCATTGTGTACGTAAACAGCTATCCCATGATCCCAAACATTTGATTTATTTATATACAGTATTTGTATACCACTTTTCTCACCCTCAGGGGGACTCAAAGTGGTTTACACACTTCTAGTTCAAAGCACTTTGGATCAGGGATACTCAACCTGTATTACATTACAAACTGCTAGACTGGCTGTTAGGTATTGTGGGAGTTGAAGTCCGAAACACCTGGAGGGCTGAAGTTTGCTATTGCGTGTGCTTGACCCAGAAGCAGATGAAGAGCCCTCCCTCCATCCAACTGCCACTGCTTTGGCCTTGGAGAAACAGGTGGCATGTGAAGCTATGGAGCCCTTCCAGACAGGCCCTATATCCCTGGATCTGATCCCAGGTTTTCAGCTTTAAACTGGATCATGAGTCCACACTGCCAGATAATCCAGGATAAACAGAAAACCTGCAATCACATCCTGGGATATAGGGCCTGTCTGGACAGGCCCTTCATCCCTTCCCACACTGGCATCCCTTTGCCTTTGTGTCATGTCTTAATAAAATTATACACCTAAGGGCAGGGGAGCATTTTGTTGTTGCTTTACTCGTACAGTGACAGTGTTACACAGTTGGTGTTCTGCAACCGCTGCTTCAACCATCCATGGTTTGAAAACATTTTTTTTAAAAAAAATCCCAAAGCAGTCTTTGATTTTGCCACTTTGTACTGTGGAAATATAAATATAGAGCTCCATAGTGTCTCGTCCACCAGCAGTTGGGATTGAGCCCTGGAACTGATGGAAGGATAAGTGGAAGGACAAGGGTTAGCAACCCAAAAGACACTGCTGCAAAATGTAATTGCTAAAATACCAAAGTCAAAATATTATCAAAATTTAAACTATTCGGCCAGCAATGGAAACGAATCACACAGGATCATATTTTTGCAGTCCATAAAGTGTGTTGATGACAAATCAGATAAAATACCAATGATATTTAATTCCATTTTAATGTTTGCATATTTGTGGATTTTAAACTGTACTGAAATGTTTTTAATCTAAGCCAACTTGAGTCTTCTTGGGGAGAGAAAAAGCAGGATATAAATAAACATAATAATGTGTTGTGGTAGGCTTTCATGGCCAGAATCACTGAGTTGCTGTGAGTTTTCTGGGCTGTTTTACCCACATCTATGGCAGGCAACCTCAGAGGAACAAAATCTGGCTACCAGTACCCTCTAAAATAACCCTCTAAAATCAGAACAGTAAATAAAGAGCAACACTAAAAAAACAGGGGAATTCCTGACATGAAGCAATCAGGGCCAGTTGACAGCTCCCAACAAAGGATTTCTGGGCAGCAACTAGCTCGGCTTCGAAGCTGCAAGGCCATTAAATGCTCATCAAGATGACCAATTGCAACATTCACACTTACCTCAAGCAGACATGAGTTCTTTTTTCCACCCTGGACATTCCACAGATATACAAACCCCACTTGCCTAGTTACAAACAGACCTCACAGCCTCTTGAGGATGCCTGCCATAGATGTGAGTGAAACATCAGGTGAGAATGCTTCACCAAGCACCAAAGAGCATTCCGAGCTCCACCAATAATAGAATTGAACCAAACTTGGCATACAGGACTTCCATGACTAACAGAAAATACTGGAGAGGGGTTTTGGAAAACTAGACCTTGATATTTGGGAACTGCAGTTTACCAAGCACCAAAAAATATTCTGAGCTCCACCAACAATAGAATTGAACCAAACTTGGCATACAGGACTTCCATGATTAACAGAAAATACTGGAGAGGGGTTTTGGAAAACTAGACCCTGATATTTGGGAACTGCAGTTTACCAAGCACCAAAAAATATTCTGAGCTCCACCAATAATAGAATTGAACCAAACTTGGCATACAGGACTTCCATGACTAACAGAAAATACTGGAGAGGGGTTTTGGAAAACTAGACCCTGATATTTGGGAACTGCAGTTTACCAAGCACCAAAAAATATTCTGAGCTCCACCAACAATAGAATTGAACCAAACTTGGCATACAGGACTTCCATGACCAAATACTGGAGGGGTTTGGGGAAGGCATGTATAAAAGATGACATTTGCAGTACCTTCAATCCCTTCCGTTTTTTGAAGAGGCCTCCTTGCTGCTCTGAGAGGAGTCCAGGCACCGCTGCCTGAGAGAAGAGGCCCTGTGCTCTTCCAGAGTAGGGAGAATTGGAGTGTGAGTGTAAGAAAGAGAGGCAGGGAAGGAAAGGAAAAGAGAAAGAGCCTGGCTGCGTGCCTCCTTGCACGTGGAGAACTTCCCTCTCGCCTAGTGGGCGGGGCCTGCACTTCTCCATTAGAAGGCTGTGCCTCCGCCCCTCAATCCTCTCTCTCTCTCCCAGGACCCTCCGTGCTAGTTTCTTTCTCCTGCACGTGTGGCGAGGCCTCCAGGCTCCTTGCGGCTGCCTTCCCTTCCTGGCTGGAGGGCCCAAGAAGAGCGAGTGGGAGAAGAGGCCTTGGAAGCATGCACGCAGGAAGGGAAGGCAGCCGCATGGCGCCAGGAGGCCTCGACACACGCGCAGGAGAGTCAAGCAGGGAGGGGGGGGGCGAGGCACAGCCTGCTAATGGAGAAGCGCAGGCCCTGCCCACTAGGTGAGAGGGAAGCCCTTCAGGTGCAAGGAGGCACACAGCTAGGCTCTTTCTCTCCTCTCTCTTCCCTTCCCTGGCTCTCTCTTACACGCACACTTCCAGTAGCTTCTGCTTCTGTTTGGCGCTGTTGAGGGCGCATGGGGCCTGCAGGAGGAGGCATGCCTCTGCGCCCCTGGCAAAAAAAAGTGTTCTGCGGCCGCTTACTTCGCGTAATGGACGGGCCGCCCCTGGTCAAGTATACAAGCATCCACTCCTCAGGGTAGTAACTATGCACTAAAAATGAATAGTCCCTCTCAAAACAGCCCTGGAATGACACCAGGTCAGCCAAACTCTATGCTTTCCCCAAGGCATCACATCAGTCCTGGAGTGGCAGGCAGTCCTTGGATCCTACCCAATCAGTTTTTCCCTGCAGGAAGCTTGCATTCACCTGTTGGAGTTTGCAGCAGCATAGGAAATAACCATAGTTATACCAACAGTTCCCTCAATGCACTTCAAGCTCTCAGTGAAGGACCAAATGTTCTTACATTTGTAAGTGACATCATTTTTGCATTTTTTTTTCTCAAAAGCATGGGGTTCAGCCTCTGTCTGCTCCCACTTCCCTCCTCCTTGATTTTTTTGATTTCCCTGTCAGATTCAGGACTCTTATTATCATTCCTGAAGATCTATCTGGCAGCTATATCTTCGTTTAGAAGAGTGCATTCTCTTCCCTCTCCTTTTGCCAATCCTCTTGTAAAGAGGTTTCTGCAAGGCTTTAGAAACTTCTGGCTGCAAGTACGGCCTGTGGCCCCCTCTTGGAGGCTGGAGGTTGTTCTTTCTGCCCTTAAAAAACCACCATTTGAGCCAATGGCCAATTCTGACATGTCCCATCTATCATGGAAAACAGCATTTTAGCAGCTATTACTTCTGCTCATCGTGATAGCGAGCTTATGGCTCTTCGAGTCGATAGTCCTTACCTGAAATTTCATAAGGATAAGGTCGTGCTCTGCACAGATATTTCTTTCTTACCTAAGGCAGCATCACAGTTTCATATGTCTCAGGTTGTCCTTCCAACCTTATTTCCAAACCCCTCTACTCCTCTGGAGCAATCTTTACACTTCCTTGATATGAGGAGAGCTCTTGCCTTTTGTGTCCACTGCCTAGCTCCATTACGGAAGTCACTAAGACTTTTTGTCAAGTACCATAGGACTCTGTAGACCTTCTGGTTCTACCCAGAGATTGGCAGTCTGGATAATCACAGCTATCCGGCTAGCATATCAGATGGCTGTTCAGATCGTTGCTCATTTCACTCGAGCAGTGGCAGCCTCTATGGCATTTTTGCACAGTATGCCACTCGATGACATTTGTTGGGTGGCCATTTGGTCTCCCATTACAAACTGGACTTGGCCACCAAAAAACATGTGGTTTTTGGGAGAGCAATTCTTTTTTTCTGCACTAGCATGACTCCCACCATTCATGGGACTGCTCGCTAATATACCACAGGTGTGGATTTCACAGTGACCACGCTGAAGAAAGTAAGGTTGCTTACCCATTCTCCCCGCACTCCGTCATGCCTTCTATCTCCAACTGTCTTTCATGGTACAGAACTAAGGCCTCAAGCCCCGCTGCCTGGCTTTATTACTGGAGTGGATGGGCAGGGCTAGAGTCCCTAATTTGGCAAAAGCTTTTCAATAAGGATCCGAATCAGCTGCGTGGATGCAGGAAATACCACAGGTGTGAATTTCACAGTTGACCACTTGAAGAAACATGGTTACAGGTAAGCAACCTTACTTTCAAGCAGCACAAAGCCAGTAGCTATGAAGACAGAGAAAGAAGAAATGTGGTTTGAGGCAATCAAACAGCCTGGCAGTGAGCTAGATAAGTTGGAAGAAATTCTGGATGATCTACAGAACAGCCAGTTGTCTCAGCTTTTCCCAAATGCCCAACCAGTTGCTTCAGCAGGATCAGTTGATAAACAAGCCATCATCAATGACCTCATGCAGATCACAGGTGAAAACAGCCTTGGGACACCTGTTGGAGCCCCCAATGAGGATGTCACAGAGAGCACTTTTACTAATACAAGGCAAGCACCGTTGGGAGGGAGTTTGCAGCTTGATATCGCATTGCAGAATACATCAGGTGCTGGAAACAGTTCAAGTCATGATGGGCTAGAGATGAATATAGGAGAACCCCAGTATACCCAGCCACAGGCCCCTCCCAGTCAGACTGCTCCATGGCCAGAGAGTATCTTGCCCATTGATCTGGCATCCTTTAGCAATCAGAATCGGTTAGCAGAAGCTGGAGCTAACAGCAGGAACTCACCCCGATCGCTGGATTCGAACTGGTGACCTTTCAGTCAGCAAGCTCAGCGGTTTAACCCACTGCGCCACCGGGTGCTCCAATTTTTATTTTGGTTTTATGCAATATGTTGTTGTGCCCCCCCCCCCCAAACCATAATTAAAACTCAACTTCTCACCTCATCAGTGGACCACAATGTTTGGATTGAGTTGGATGATGTTTTTAACTTGGCGAACTGTCTTTTATATGCATTTTATAAACTTATTTATAATGTATGTTGTTTTTGAAATGTTAATTATTGTGTAGCATTGGATTTTTGCTGTTATTAGCTGTTCTGAGTCCTCCACAGAGGTAGAGAAGAACGGGATATAAAAGTTCAAAATAAATAAATAATACATTAGAAAACACAGGACAATGTTCAATAATAATGTTCAAATTTCTGTCTCCTCATTCCTGGCCAACTCAGATATTAAAAATTGGAAATTCTGACAAAGAATGCAGAAGATATTACAAAACAATCCTTCCTACCCATGAAGCCACATGCATCCTAGACTCTTGCCCATCCTGGCTGGTAAAGGACACCAGAGGGGGTTTTAGCAGAGTGGGTAAAGGTGATGGTCAGTGCCTCCTTACAGGAAGGCAAGTTTCCAGCCAGCTTAAAAGAAGCTGTTATAAAACCACTCTGGAAGAAACTATCACTGGACCCCACTCAATTCGTCAAATTTCGGCCAGTTTCCAATCTCCCCTATTTGGGCAAATTCATGGAAAGTGTGGTGGCCTCGCAACTCCAGGGGTCCTTGGAAGACACTGATTATTTAGATTCAGTCTGGCTTTAGGCTGGGACATGGAACTGAAACAGCCTTGGTCACCTCAATAGATGATCTGCACCGGGAACTAGACTAGAATGTGTCCCTGCTGGTTCTCCTGGACCTTTCAGCAGCCTTCAATACCGTTGACCATGGTATCCTTCTGGGACACCTCGCAGCTATGGGTATCGGAGGTACTGTTCTGCAGTGGCTCCGATCCTTCCTGGAAGGTCATTCCCAGAAGGTGGGAGACACCTGTTCAGCCCCGCAACCATTGTCTTGTGGGTCCCACATCTACATGAAGCCTTTGGGAGAGATCATCTGGAGTTTCAGAATACGATGTCACCTGTACACAGATGATGTTCAAATCTGTCACTCCTTCCTGTGTGAAACTTTGGAAGTTGGATAAGATACCAGAGATTGGTGTTTGGTTAAGTAAATTGAGAGAAATTTGAGACATGAATAAATTAACTTTTTTTTTTTTTAAGAATAGCTTGGGAAGCCCAATTAAAAGGACTGACTTGCTGAGGAATATGAAAAGGAAAAAAGATTATAAACATACTATTTAATTATGTTTTACCACATTTTTTACAAATATATATGGATATTTCAATTTACAAAGTAGAAAAATGAGAAATGCAGCGGCACAGAATGGAAGTCAATGAGACTTTTTTTTCTCTTTTTTCTCCTTTTCCTTTCCTTTCTCTCTCTTTGTTTCCCACTTTACTATCTATCCAATGTTCCCCCACTTTCTATGTAAAATAGCATTTTCCCCCCTTTTTATGGGCAATAAAAATCTATTCAAAAAAAATCTGTCACTCCTTCCCATCTGTAACTAAGGAGGCTGTTCAGGTCCTGAACCAGTGTTTGGTAGCTATGTTGGATTGAATGAGGGTGAACAAATTGAAATTGAATCCAGACAAGACAGAAGTCCTCCTTGTCAGTCGAAAGGCCGAACAGGGCAAAGGGTTACAACCTGTGTTGGATGGGATTACACTCCCCTTGAGGGCACAGGTTCACAGCTTGGGAGTGATTCTAGAATCATCTCTGAGCCTGGAACCCCAGGTCTCGGTGGTGGCTAAGGGAGCTTTTGCACAATTAAAACTTGCGCGCCAACTGTGCCCATACCTTGGGAAGTCTGACTTGGCCATGGTGGTCCACGCTCTTGATACATCCCATTTAGATTACCCAACACGCTCTACGTGGGGCTGCCTTAGAGGACTGTTTGAAAGCTTCAACTAGTCCAACGGTTAGCAGCCTGATTGCTCACCAATGCTGCGTACAGGGAGCATACCACCCTCCTGTTACGTTAAGTCCACTGGCTGCCAATTTTCTACCAAGCACAATTCAAAGTGCTGGTCTTGGCCTATAAAGCCCTAAATGGTTCCGGCCCAGCTTACTTGTCCAAACGTATCTCCCTCTACAACCCACCTCGGGGATTAAGATCATCGGGAGAGGCCCTGCGCTCAATCCCACCATCCTCGCAAGTGTGGCTGATGGGGATGAGAGATTGGGCTTTTTCGGTAGTTTCTGTGGAACACTCTACATAATGAAATCAGATCTACCCCCTCCCTCCTACCCTTTAGGGGGCAAAAAACTTAAAACTTGGTTGTAGGACCAAGCATTCAAGCAACAGAAACAGCGTTGACAATGAGAATGATTTATTGGACTGACAATGGACTGACCTCAATTATGATTTGAAGTTGCGTAATTTTAATTGGATGTATTTATATGTGATATTTTATCAATTGTTTTAAATGTAAATTATGGTCTTGTTTGGGTATCTAATGATTGCTAATTGTGAAGCTGCCCTGAGTCTCCTCCTCCCTCCCCCCCCCCCCCCCCCCCCCCCCCCCCCCCCCGGGAGGGGGTGAGAAGGACGGGATACAAATGTACGAAATAATAATAAATAAATATTTACACAACCACAATTAGTCTGTGTAAGGTAAAAACTGAAGATTTTTGTCAGTTTGGATTATTTTCCTGGATTTCTTTACACTCAAAAAGCATATTTTTCAACCATTTTTGAATATTTCCAAATATTCTTTCTATTTCTACTCTGATATATTTACTTAGTATTCTTTGTACACAGAAGTTGATGCATAGCTCACAACTACAAGTAGCCTGTTTATTTAGCCCCAGTAAAATACAGCTGAGGGCCTATTAGCCTTCTTTTGCAAACTAAGTTACAAAATTTGTGTGGAAATACAGATGCTTTCTTAGTTACTTTTTAGCCCATTTTCTTATAAAGGATGAAAACATGTTGGACCTTTTAAAAGAATAAAGTTGATCATCAGTTAGCATATGAAGCTCATCTCTATTTTGTTTTCCTGCTTTCTTAGACTGTAATTTATGCCTGAATATGTGTCATTTTAACCATTCTCTGTTCTACTGTCATTTTTCAGGTTGACTTTGAACAGCTTCGGGACAACCTTTGTCAAATAGAGAAACGATGCAAAGCATCATGGGATCACCTGAAGGCTATAGCAAAGCATGAAATGAAATCAACATTAAAGCAAAAAATGTCTGAGTTCCTTAAGGACTGTGCAGAAAGAATCATAATATTGAAAATTGTCCATAGAAGAATAATTAACAGGTGGGATATCAAACATATCATCAATATGCTGTTAAAAAAAACTCTCCTAGCATTGTGCTGTTTCAAAACATAAAAATGAATCTCTCAGCAAATTGTATTGATACTAGAATCTACCCCACCTGGCTTTGAGAAACTAAACTCATAGAATCAATATGTATAATATGCTATCATAAAACAAAACGTACAGGTGCAAAAAGAAATAAAGCAATAGCATAATTCAATTACAGACAGTAGCAGCCCAGCATTAAACCATTATGCGTTTAATTGCTTTAAAAACCATTTCAGCATTATTTGAACCAGCAGTGCTATGATATCTTTGTTAAGAGAAACTGGAAATAATTTAGACTTCAAAACTTGCTTAAAAGCCTAAATTAACAGAAGCATATGTATTTCAGTTGGAATGGCATTTGTTGGTCACCATCAAGAAGGTCTTGCTCTTGATACTTGCCAAGCTAAATTCACAAAGAAAGTCAACCTGGATGTTAGTACTTCATTTGTGAATAGATTTTTTTTATTCTCTGTCGTTTGTAAATTATTTTTCTTTTCTAGACATTTCTACTGCTCTTTGAAGTTAGATCAATTCATTCAAAATGGTAATTTAAACTTAATAACTTTTGTGCAGTATTCACTATCCAAACATATATTTCATCCATTACACAGTTAATAATGAAACACTGTTACATTGTTTGAACTTGTATGCATCGGTGTGAGAAAGCAAAATTAGATGACATTATTGCAGACTTCTATTTTGTTTTCACCCCATTTTTCATGGTAAGTTCTGGAAATAATGTTAAAAGAATATGTGATAAAATGGGACATAGAGAGCCTTTATGAGCTCACAGATTCAAAATGGATTATCCAGTTTATCTTTCTTGGACCAATTCTTAGCTACCGAAAAATTCTATTAAACTTACAGCTTGTATTTTCTACAGATCTAGTAAACCAAATACTTTCTCTACATCATGCTGTATTCCTTAAAATCTCTAAAACTACAAGATATCCAGACAACTAACTCCTTCTGCTTTTCTAGGTTCCACTCTTTCTTATTATTTATGGGTTATACTCCTTATGCAATCCGTGAAGTCAACATCAATAAGTTCTGCAAAATTATTAGTGAATTTGCTTTGGAGTATCGCACCACCAGAGAACGGGTTTTGCAGCAGAAGCAGAAGCGAGCCAACCATAGAGAAAGAAATAAAACCAGAGGAAAAATGATCACAGATGTAAGTCCAAAGTGAATTTCTTAGCTCAAAATTAATGATTTATTTTCATCAAAGCGGATTTCAACTATTGCAGCTGGTAATATTTTCCTGGAATTTCTATGTGAGAATAGAAGTCTCTGCTGCAAAGCAGGCTTTCTTCAAGCGGTAACTTTTTTGGTCTCAGTGAAAATATGTTGGAATGAAGGCTGCAAACCTTTTGTATTGTTATCCCAATACCCCCATACATATGGGATATATTGAGCATGGTGATCAGATCATGATATGAATAAACATAACAGTTTAAATAATGTACTAGTAAGGCCTTCTCGCGGACCATCCTGAGAATTTTGGAGGGGGGGCTGAAGCCCTTTAAGCCCCCCCCCCCCCCAGGCTACATGCCTGATGCTGACTTGACAATAGTGAAAACCAATTAGCAATGGGGAAGGAGAATTTCAACAGGAGTAAAGTCAAAAGATGCTGGGAAATACACAACCCTTCATTCTTTTAAAAAGAAAGTTTGCTGGGAAAGTAATCACCATTCTTAACTTCCAGAAGTCCCTACCAAGGAAAGCAAAGCTGGTTCCTTCCCCGTTGTTCCTGCTTTTCTGATTACTTTTTAAATCCAGGGAGGCTTTTGGCAATTTACCTGGTATTGAGGACAAGGCTTGGTCAAGTGCTCAACTTTCCTTAGAAATCTGTTTTCAAAATTTTAATTGTTTCAAAATTTGCTTTCAAGTTCATTTGTCTAAACATATAATCTTGTTTTAAGCTTTAATGTTATTCTTCTTTTGTGTGTTATTACTGTGTGCTGGCATGAGTCCCATATTTGCAAGAAAGATTGGCTATAAATCTAGAAACTGAATTTTGCCATGATTCCTTGTGTAATCCCACATGCCATGCGTACTCGAGTGAGCATTGCTCATAAATACCACCATGCCACTGCAATAATATTGCAAAAGGCATTTGTTTTCTGATCTTTCACATAAATTGTCTGCTGGAGAATCCTCTGCTGTAACAAAATCACAGTTTCTGGCATGGATTTGACATCAAGATGTGCTCCATATATCTGCTTTGAGTCTCCTTTGTGGAGAGAAAAAGCGGGGTGGTAATAATAATTATTATCTATATAAATAAAAATGTAATGTTCATTTGTGGGATTAACAGAAACTCAAAAACCATTGGACAAATTAATACCAAATTTGGACACAAGACACCTAACAACTCAATGTATGTCCTTCACTCAAAAAAATTGATTTTGTCATTTGGGAGTTGTAGTTGCTGGGATTTATAATACACCTACAATCAAAGAGCATTCTGAACTCCACCAATGGTGGAATTAAACCAATCTTGGGACACAAAACTCCCATGATCAACAGAAAACACTAGAACGGTTTGGTGAGCATTGACCTTGAGTTTGGGAGTTTTAGTTCACCAACATCCAGAGAGCACTGAGTACTCAAACAATGATGGATCTGGACCAAACTTGCCACGAATATTCCATATGCCCAAATATGAACACAGATGGAGTTTGGGGGAAATAGACCTTGACATTTGGGATTTGTAGTTACTGGGATTTATAGTTCACCTACAATCAAGGCGCATTCTGAACCCCACCAACAATAGAATTGGGGCAAACTTCCCACACAGAACCCCCATGACCAACAGAAAATACTTAAGGCCATCCAGTCCAACTCTTTTCACCAGGGCAAGAAAATGTAATCAGAGCCCTCCTGACAAAGAGCCATCCAGCCATAGATATAGATTGGTATATATGATTCACACACACAATAGATTGGAAAGGGACCGCTAAAGAAGGACTACTCTGGAATATGTTGCATATTCCAGAGTAGGCAAACCAGACACTCTCCACATCAACACTGACAAAGAAATACTGTTTACCCACAAGCATAAGGAAATTACATATATTAGTACCAAACACTTTCTCATTACTTTATTTTCCAGATCACCAGACTGGGCCATAGCAACGTGTGGCAGGGGACAGCTATTAATACTAATAATAACAGATGTACTTTTTCTTGTCTCTCAGATGTGAGGACTTTGCATTGTCTTTTATCAGTGTTTACTTGATGAAGACTCCTTCATCTGTAGGACATAATGTATTTGGAATTCATATGTAATAGTATGCTCAATTGCAATATTATTACAGTGTGTATTGAACATATATTTCTTTTTTATAGCAATTCTGACATGACTTAAAGCAAGCAGGATTGCATTTCATTAATCCTGAAATCACTGAAATGAAATGCTAGTTTAAATATAAACATTGGAAAAACCATTACATACCATAGTCTGTGCAGTACTGGCACCTTAAGTAAGTAACTACTGTATAAAGTTATAAACGCAATATAAAGTAGCTGTTTTTCATTATTATAATGTTTGAGCAAGACGTAGCTCTCAAACAAAATCATGCAACAAAGGTAACAGACATATTTTCAACTATTGATATATTACATAGTTTAAGTAGCACTAAGATTTTAAATTTTATTTTTAAAGTGCTACAAATTATTTTATTATTTGCATACTGTTGTTGAAAGAAGTGCCAGTACTTAATAGCAGGTTCCAGCTATCTTGAATGTGGGACTATGGAGTCACAATTAGATGTTAATACGTCATCATATATAGAGTTACTTCTCTTTCAGCTTTGGCATTGGTAGCTGTGCACTGATATGTGGCAGGATCAGGACTCCAACAAATGAAGTAATAAAAAATATGAAAAGCGAAATGAATAAAATGCATCCAAATAGGCAAGAATTTAAAGTACTCCCTACAATTTCTTCCACTTTCTTGGTTTCTCATTGTGGAAATGTAACTTTATTGAAATTACATAATAACTTTTTAAAAATTAAGCTGCTTCTAAATAAATAAGATTTTATTTTATATAATGTTAGATATTATAGAGCCATGGTCATGGCTCTAATATAAGGTGGTTGAGATTATTTATTTATTTATTTATTGCATTTATATACTGCTTTTTTCACCTCTGGGGGATCACATTATTCATCCTCTTATAATTAGAAATCCTATTCCAGCTCCTTATAGTAAAAAGTAAGTATGTACCAAGTTACTTCTTGGAAATATGAGTCACTTTCTAATTTTAGTTTCTGTATAGTACCTCACGTTCTGTTGAGACTATTCAAAAATCTGAATGTTTTGCAGCTGCTACTCAGACTTGTAACAAGGCTGATACTAAATCTTTCCCATCAAAAAAGAAGTCAGCAAAATCTTCATCTACACTTTGGGGGTTGCATATCGCCATCTTGGGATTATTATTTATTTTATTGTTTTTTTTCTTATTTTAGTATTATTTCTATTTTTATTTTATTTTATTTTTGTTTTATTTTATTTTACTTTTTGTCTCATTTTCTCTTTTCTTTTTGTTTTATTAGTCCATTTTATTGCTGACTGAGATAGATTCTGATAGGGAGTCTTATTGATTTTGTTTCTTAAGATTAGAGGAAGGGGGGATAAGGGAGGAGATTCAAGAGGTCATAAAAAGTGAGATGATATAGGATTTTGGGGACTGGTAAAAGCCTCCATGAGATTTCCTTTAAGTAATGTGGTTATATTGGTTTTGGAATGTGTATGGTGGTTTGTGTATGTAAGTACTGTATTTTGAGGGTTTTAGATTATGGTGGATTTGGTGAAGATGCTGAAGAGAGGATTGATTTAGCTAGGAAGAAGGAATTTGGTTAGATTGTGAAGGCAGCTTGTTGAGAGTTTAAGAGTGGTTACTATAGGAAGGATTTTTGGAAGTCATAGGAAATTGATCGGTTGGAAACTCGTAGGAAAAGTGAACTTTCTCATCTATGTGATCTCATGGGGAAGTCGTTCAATCTTACCCTGCAACAACTCATTGTGAAAAATCCTATTCAATATGTATGTTTAAGTTTATTCGATGCTTAGACCATAGATCTTTCACATACATGGCAAATAGATAAATACATGAACACCAGATTATTAAATACAATATAAAATACACCAATGAAATCCTATAAATCATTAAAATGCTGCATATATCGATTGCAAGATGCACCTTTAAAATACTACAAACTGTATGGACTCGCACCCGCATAATTAAAAACCAGGTAAAACCAAATAGATACAGCATTATTGAAACTGCATAAACAGCCACTATTAGTTAGAAGCATCCCCAGCACAGTCAACTGCAATATCAGAGATTAGTTTTGCCCGGATTTTCTGTGCTGCCAGAGCAAAAGGAGACACCTTGTGAGTAACCATAGGGTTAGTGTCAGCCAAAAGAAAGAAAATCTTTTCTGGCACAGTGTTGGTTTGAAGGAAGTGAAGAACAGACCCAGGATTTTGGTTCTTGGCGCAGTGTACAGAGGACAGAAAAACAAATAGTGAGGCAAATCCTCAATTTCCAGGGCCCCGCAAACACATAAACGAAGAGCCAGAGGTGTGCCCATGTATCTGCCATCAATCACTGCTGTGTCCATACTTTGAAAATGAAGGCCTGCAAATTGCCCATATTGAAATAAATAAGGGCAAATGGAATTGCCACCCAACCAAAAATCCTCTGCTCAGACTGAACTTCTGGATAATGATTCAGACCTATCGACACCAGCGTGACAATTACACCTGCTATCTTGGAATATAATGGGATGGATAAATAAATTTCATGATGTAGATTTTGCAATTTATCTGCAACAATTCAAAATTATTTGTTTGCAAGAGACATGGGCCACTGAAACTAATCTCCCTTCCCTCCATGGTTTCAGAGCATATTCAGTTCCAGCTGTGAAAACAAACTCTAAAGGCCGTGGAAGCAGAGGCCTGACCATATTCATTTCAGTCAATCTGCACGTGGACATTCAACTTTTGGATAGTTCCTTCCCACAATATATACAGGCCCTCCTCATTAAGAGCATGTACTTTGGTTATGTAATCTGTACAAATGTCTATTTTCCACCTGGATTATAAAAAAATGGAGACCCTAATAATGTCTGGATTAGATTATCTGAAACCATCACCTGTTTGGA